ATCGCAGTTGTGAACGCAACTTAGAGAGTATTAAGGCTTAAACGGAATTTGGGATTCGAACTTTTGACCTCTCTATCGAGTTAACTGAGAGCTGGTCATTTTTTGAGTTCCTAATACACCCATATATGATGAAGACACGCACGAAGTAAATATATGGCGATGAATCCAATGCAAATGACGCCCTCAGCCTACTCTTTCCAAACGCTCTGTTACCTCAATGATTCTCAAACTTCTTCCTTCACCCAATAGCCGAGGTATGTCAAAATCGTAAATTTAATGTAGATGTTGTGAAATGTGAATTGATCAACAGGACACGAGCGTGGGACAAAGAAAAAAAATTTCACCTTTCACACTCATTTCATTACCGAGCGTAAAAAAGTCACCATCTGTTTACTTAATATACACGTTGTTTCGAGTTAGATCTCTTTACTGGCCTAAGTATTAGTTACTCTAATACACGAGCATCTCAGCATCCGCCGTAATTTAATGGAGAAAGTCGCATAACAAGCATAATGGGTTTGTTCGCATCTCTAAACCCTGTTCTATGATGTTTTCAGGTTGTTTGTTTTCCGTACCCAACGAGGTAACAAAGTTAACCAGTCCAAACTACCCGAACAAGTATCCGAGTAATTCAAACTGCACCTGGATAATAGGTCGAGGGATGGATTTAACAGAAGCAAAGATCATAGTCCTGTTTGACTACTTTCATACAGAGGGCCTTGGCACTCCTTGCAGGTAAAGTTTCGGTCAGTGGCTAACGTACTAAAGAATTTTTCAAGTTCAATGAGGAGCGCAAGAATGTTAAACTATTCAGTAGAGGCATTTACCAAAAGCATAATCATGATTACTTCGGCGATGCAGATGTTATAAAATTTCATCGACAGTTAATGTAAAGTCACATTTTGCGCACGGATCTAAGAAGAAGGCAGTTTTGCTACACAACTACGGCGAATTAATGCAGGAATTTTGTTCAAATCATTGTGCCATTGTTTTCTGTTGTTAGCAATGGTATTAAAGTTCTTATTTTCGTCCAATTTTGCAGTTCTGATTTCGTTCAAGTAAGTGACAGCTCCCAAAGTTTAAACTGGACATTCAGTGGGAAGATCTCACCGTTTGCAGTTAGCGTCAGTCAAAGTTATGTCACCGTACGCCTGAATTCAGACAATGGAATAGAGGAAAATGGTTTCCATGCTCGTTACTTTGTTGTAAGGAATGCAGTTAATCTGGGTACGAAATCTAGGTTTGATAGTAATAAATGCTACCGCATAACAAGCCTTCTAGTGCATATAGTGCGTTAAGGCAATCATTCTTATGCTTTAAAAGTCAGTGTAATTAGAGCTCAGATACCTCAAAGAGTTCAGATACCTCAAAAGGTATCTGAGTTCGCCTGTCGAGACAGGTTCAACAATTTAGTAGCCACCCAGTGTGGAATAAACTGACAGTGACTGTTAATGCTGAGTGAGTCCAATCAAAGATCTCCTCCTTATAAACTTAGAAGTGAGAAATCGCGAATGAAAGTTCAGTTAATTTACTGACCACATAATTAAGGAGACTAGGGACGAGGCAAATACTAAAATGGCAAAGCTAAACGTTATCTCTACCAAGCTCTATTCACAAGGTAGTGAAGCATGCAACTTAGCTTTGACAAATGACAAGCAAGCCAAGTTCGTAACGCGGCCACAAAATTGTTGAAACCTTGTGGAAGTCTTTAAGACTTGATTCTGAATCACTGATGGGAAAAAAAACAAAACAAACAAACAAACAAACAAACAAACAACACAGGTGGAAATCTTGGACTTTCTCTGAACATTATTTTCCGTCATTACTGATTATCATTTTTACTTCAGATATTGCAATAA